AGAAACACAATCTTTCCTCTTTCCTCAGGAAGTGTGAATTTTAAACTCTACCCAGCAAACTCTTTCACCAATGTTTTCACACTCATATTTTATCCAATAGCAGCACTAGTACAGCTAGTGGGAAGAAATAAAAGAAACGAATTAAAGTCAAGAAACTTACAGATACAACTTTGGCTGAATTTCCTCTTTTGAGACTCCCCTTATTCTCTACTGCACATGTATCAATAATTTCCCTCAGAAAAAAAAAAATATCAGGAGCATGGAATACAAAAATCAAGATGGGAAGTCTGTCACATCCCCAACTTCTCTCTTCTAATAATGCCCTTTGCAAAGTTTTCTGGCTTATGACATACTAAATCTTAGTACTAACTAAGCATATATGTACTTGGGGTTTACCAAAGCATAAAGAAAAACTTCTGAGTTTAAACTTTTACAATAATATGGATGTTCCAAAGACACCTGACAGAATGGAACTTTACCTGTACTGTTACTCTCAGGACCATAATCTGGACAAACACAAAGTTTAACAATGAGACAGCACTGGTAACAGTCTAACAATGAATGAAGAATTGAAAACCTTTACTTTTGCATTCAAGGTTTTTAAATAGAGAAATTAAAACTAAGGATTTGAAGCATAAGGCTTACTTGGTTCTATGTGATCAGCAACATGAAAAATTACATTCACGTTATACAGCATTAAAACTTTTAATTATTCCAATAAAACATTACAAGAGACCTTGGATATCACATTCCAACCTGCTTTGTTATTACATGAGCATCTCAATTTCCTCTTCTGTAAAATGAATTGGACTAAAATCCTAAGATGCTTTTAAACTCTTACAAATCTTAGACTCTTTCACATTATGGTAGTAAAATTAAGGCCATGATATGAAACTGTTATGTTCAACCTTTTGTAAATAATTTTTTTAAAAAATGATAAAACAGTACTAATTTTCATCTAGCCTTAAGCTATGAAATTTATAAAATTATGGCAAATTGTATACTTATCTATACATCACACAATGTGCTCTAATTCAAATAGTAAGAATTAAAATAATAATAAAATAATTTGCCCAGGTTAAAACTATCCACTTTCATTTTAATACTTAGGATTCTACTCACCCCACTAAAAAGTACCCAGATTATCGCATGAGAGAAATGCAAACTTCTACAATTCACAGCTTCACCATGTTAAATTCAGGTTTTAAATACCTATGTCAGATACACACATACACAAAGACCAGAGGAAAATTAATTAAGCATCACAGCTTTTTTCCCATGACAAGGTGAATGCAAAACAAAGTATAATCTGGTCCTCTGCATTGCAGAGGAATATAGTTCTTGCAACCAACGGAAAAGCTAAAACATCGAAGATCTTAAACGTCAAGATAAAACTTTAGATGCTAGCAAGAAAAGATTTATGAAATAGTTAAGAATGTTTTTATTCTTAACCCAGAAAATTCTATACAATAGTCACATTGAAAATTCTAAGTCAAGGCACATTGCAATGCTCTGAAAAGAACAAATGTTATCCTTTCTTACAATGACAGTGTCGTTTTTTCAAAACAATATTAAGTGAAAGATATAGAGTATAAAGACTTTAGGGAGTAATATATGAAAAGCACTACAACACTCTTGGCTCTCAGTTCTGGTCATGTTATTGGTTACCAAGTTGTCAGCCTGTTTTTTTTTTTTTTTAAGGAAAAGAACACTGGTTAATCTTTTACCAACCAAAGTCACTGGAGTCTAAATCTATAATGTTTATACCAAAAACACAGCAATTTTAAATCTATTTAAAATATCTTTGATTCTGCACCAAAGCCGATTACATCTTAAAATATCAAATAAGCTGTCTTTTTGAGTAAAATCAAGATTAGTTTTCAAGTATCATCATCCTTAGCCTAGGGGTCTCATCCTGTACCAAGTAATAAAGAAAACTAGGCAGTTAATTACCCAATTCAGTATCTGTACTTCAACTACAATGAAAATATTTGTAAATAGTGTTTTACACTTGATTATCTATTATAACTGTATTTCTCTTTGCTAAACATTCATGTAGTCTTTGTAAGCACAAACTTCAAAAAAACACCTAGCCATTTAGTTGCATTACATAATATGGTATTTCAACGTCAAGCATGCATTCTCACCAAATGCTCAGATCTTCTCTAACAGTTCAAATTACAAAAACATTAGCAAATAATTTTTTTACATAAAACTGGCTCAATTATCTATGTCTTAATAAGTGATACTACATATCTACTAGTAATTTTTGGCAAGATAATTGATTTCAGAAGCTATGGAACAGGCATTTGGTCTAGAAGGCTCCAATATGAATAAGTCAAGATTGAAATACAGCTCAAACTTCAGGAAAAAGAAACCCCACTGGTAAATTGCATCTTACTACTCCATTTGTGCTTCTAAAGAGGTTCAAAACTAATCTGTAAAGCAAATTTTAGGTGCATTAGAAATGCTCACTGACTACTAAAAAAATCAATCAGTTAAATCCTTTCATACAGTAAAATCATCTGAATATTGAAAAACTCTTAACTAGAAACCAGATATGCTTAAAGGAAAATCCAAATGTTCTGCGTTTCTGAATAAGTAAAACATAGTTTTATTAACACTTAAGTCACAACCTTAGTACTGCCAACCTATTTAACAAGTAGGTAGCTTAGTCTCTGGTTTATCAAAAAACCTCACTTAACTGTGCCTTTACCTTTTCCCTGTTATCTAGCACCTAAAATACTGAGAAAGCAGAAAAAAAGATAAGAAATATACTTGTTACTTCATGTTATTTGTTAAGTGTCCACCTGTCTACAATCTTTGTAATAATTGCATTACGATCTCCAGAGAACTACCCCAAAGTTTTCTAAGGCTGTAAATCTTTACTCAAGCAGACTGCCTCATATTTCTCCTATGGAGCAGAGTGGCTCTCAAACCGCTGACCTTTTGATAGCAGCTGAAGGTTTTCTAATCACTATCCTACCAGAGCTCCTTCACCAACGTGTAGAAACACACTTGCCTGATCCTGTGTTAGCCCCTTTGAAGGATTGTTTCAGTCATTAAAATATAAATGTCTATGCTAAAATGTCTACACTTAAAATATTAAATCATTATTTATCTTGATTCCTATCCCAGAATAAAGTGGCAGTTTCCCAGAAATTATGAAAATTATTCAAACATCAACCAGATTGACAGCACTGTTTATTACATTTAGAGAAATTTTAAATATCAGTTAGTCTAAATTCCAAAGAGATAAGCAAAAACTAAAAATCACGTGGCAGACTCAGAAGATACTAGCCTTGGGCATGCTTATTCTATATTTTAACATAGCTACTCCTGTCCATTTAAAATACTTTTGTCATCTTATTGATAAACACAGTTGTCTATTAAAATAAAGGACTGGCAAAGTGAGACATCTCGTAACTAGTCATCTCAATTTCAAATAACGCCCAAAAGATTCAAGAAAAGTTCCGTGCTTTCAATACTGGAGGGAGGGAAACAGGGATCAAATATAAATGTCATGTTTGGAAACTCCTCATAAATGTAAAAAAATCAGTGAGTATTTACAATCGATGAGGCCTAAATATCACCAGTTATCTTCAACTTATTTCCCACAGACCAAATTTTAGCCAGAGTCACCACATTAACATCTTAAGTAACACTACTGAGTAGCTAGCTAAACAAGTATTTTAAAATTAGATTTCTTGAAAATTCAAAATGTTACAATATATATGTTGTACTAGAGACAAACAAGCAGAACTTATCTTACTAGTGTTTCATTTTTTAAGGTAAAAAGCAAAACTTAATACTGTCTTCATTTTTTGTGCCATTGATTTCTTGTTCGCTGCCCATCTCCAATCTTACTCAAGGTTGAATTATTCACTAGGCCCAGAGCCTTTCCACCCACCCACACCCACACCCACTCACCCAACACCCACGTGTCTCAGAGATGGTACACTGACTATCCTGTGCTGAAAGCATAAAACAAAAGACCGACTTCAAGATTTACCTCATGGTGTGTCCTAGACTGACTAAATATTCAATCTAAAAATATTGTAGGTGTGGCTCGATTTTGGGGGGGAGGGAGGCCCGAGGGCGGCCATCGGGGCGGCTGCCTGGCCTCAGCCCTCCCCCTCTGCTTTCGCTTTGTGCTCACAATGCAGCTCCTGTAAAGCGCTTCCCTCTCCCCTCAGCCGCCGCCATGTTAGACGCTCTCTCCATGTGCCCAGAGCCCGAGCGATCGCCTCAATCTAACCCCGACCCCCTTCCTAACGACTCTCAATCGCTGCAGTCTCCCCCGGCCCCATTTTAAAATACCCTAGAGACAAAAAAAATCGCTGCAGAAATCCATCTCGGGGTTAACTGGGGCGTGAAGTTCAAGGGGCACCTAGACAATTGAAACAAAGAAACGTAGGGGAGCCCATGAGTTAGGGGGTGGGGGTAGCAAATCGAACCCCTTCATGAGCCTGCAGGAAAAGAAATTCTAGTTTACGATTCTCAATACACCGCTCTCCCAAGGCAAAAAAAGGGCACACTGAGTAGGCCTCAAGTGTACGGAAAAGGAGTGGTCAGACCCCACTGCTGAAAGACACAGGGCCCCCCCAACCGCACGAGGCAGTCGGTTGAGCCCGGAGCCCTCCCCTTCATTCCTCCCCGCGGCCTCGATAACGGACACAAGGGCACCGTCCAGTTTAATCCTAGCAATACGCCCCCACCCATATCCGTCCCAAAACGCTAGATCCGTAAAAGACTTCGAGTAGTACAGGCCAGGGGGCACCGCCACATCTGGGTCAGGTGACAAGTATCTCCCCCAAAAGCCCGTTCTGTGGGCACGAAACTGTTTACGGTGGCGAAGAAGTGGGGAAAGGACAAGTGGTGGGGATGCAGAGCGCCAGCAACGGAAAGAAGTGAAAGCCACCGCGATCCGGTGGGCCCTGCCTGTCGGAGGCAGCTCCAAGGCCCGGCCGCATGAAACCCTCCCTTCCAACTCCTGGCACCTTTTTCTTCTCCAGATTCCGAAGTTTTTTGTCGATCACCCCGAGAATCTGCTTCATGGCCTCGGTCTGGACAGCGCCGGTACCGGTTGCGGGGTGCTGGGAAGAGGGCGCAGCTGCCCCGGCCCCCGCCTCATTCCCGGAGGAACCCGACGGGGGTGGTGGTCCGGACGACTTGCTGCCGCTGCCGCTGTGGCTGGTGGCCGAGGGCATCTTTAGACAGTGAGAGAAGAAAAAGCGGGAGGAAAGACAAGAGCGGCGAGTCAGGAGACGGACGGGGAGAGACGCGGGACAAAACGCGCAGCGGGCGGCTGGCTGCGCGAGCGGGTGGGGGAGGGGCGATGCGCGCCGCAAGGCCAGGAAGAG